GAGGCGGCTGCCTCGCTCCGCCCACGAGGCCTCTAGGGCCCACCCTTCCTCATGCCTGGCTGCGCCCCCAAAGCTTGCCACCACGGTACCTCCTTGAACCGGTGCGTTCTTTCACTTTTCTCTGGCCCCCTGGGGAAAGCAAAATACCGTGCTGCTGGAGCGTCCTCCCGCTGCCCGTGAGACGTGGGGGCTTGGGCCCCCGCCCGGATCCCCCATTCTACACTGAGACGGGGCGTGGGCCCCTGCCCGGGTCCCCCGTTCTCCAGCGTGCAGACAGCCCACAGCCAGCGGGTCCCTCCCGGAACAACTGCAGCCTCGGTCTGTCCGGGACCACGTTATATTCTATGACATATAGTTACTATATATTATAATTAATTATGATATTATAATATTATAGTTTTATCATTATATTCTATATTATGTATTGTAGTAACAAATAACATGTGTAAATTAAGTTACATTGTTATATTAATAGAAGCATATACATTATATGCTATGTCACATCATAGACATCATGTTAATATTTAAATTTTAACTTGATAATATAAAGTAATACATACTTTATGTCCCACTCAATTTTTCAATTACATCTCCTCCTCCTCCCTGCACGGCACCACCCACGGCTACACGCCCAGGGTCTGCACTGAATTCCCTTCCAGAGGACAAGAGAAGTTTGTGTGGGGCAGAATGAATGGGCTGGGGACTGGGAGCATGTGGTGCAAGTAGGACACCAGGGTTCTCTGGACTTAAGTGAGTGCAACCGAAAAAAACCAGCCTGCAGTCTACTTCGGGCAGATGAACTAAGCCCTAGGACCCTGATGGAAGCTCTGGGGTATCTTTTCCCCTACTGCTCCTTGGGATTCAATCAGCGTTACAGTTAATAAACTCTTCTGGAGGGATGAGCATGCCTCCAGGAAATGGCTTTGAGGAAACCAGTCATTTTAAAAAAAAAACTTGCATAAAAACCCCTCAAGATAACACAGTCTATACTGTCTTATAAAGCTGCACCAAGCTCCTGGAAGAGTGAAAGGGAATAAATGAACACACCACACCACTGCTTGCTTGGGCAATTACCTTTACGGTCTAAGGAGCCAGAAGTATAGCAACGTGCATTTCCAGCAAAAGACAAAGCGCACCGCCCCACGCATAAATTCATACCACGTCTTCCCTAATTGCCCTGGGAATTCTCACTGCTAGAAGTATGGATGTTTCCAAATCATTCACCAGAGATGGAAATTAATCCCTAGATTGAAATTTCAGATTTTTCTACATTATACTATGTAGCCTATAAGAACTGGAAACCTGTGTGTTGTGTCCTTGGGGCAATGGTGGAAAGCTGTTCTCTGTAATTAGCTCAGTCTGGTAAGATAAGCAAGTGACTCGAAGTGTATCTCCAGCTGTGCTTCAGTGCAATCATTTTTATCCTTCCCTCAGTCTATTATCATCTATCATGGTCACTAAATAGAGTTTTGTCCCATCTTTTGGTTTAAAAAAAGCCCCCCACTTGTCCCGCCTGATGCATCACAGATCTAGCTGGGCCTTCCCCCGCCACACTTCAGGAAAGCATGCAGCCTACATCTGCAGTGACGAGGACCAGAGGTGCCAGAAGAAACCTCAGTCTTTCACAGCTCTTCGGTATTGTGTGGCCAAGAGGTACACCTCTGATGATTCTTTCCTGCTGGCTTCAGGTTTCACGATCCTTGTGTTCTGGAATTCCTCTGTCAGTCTCTTCTGCAACCGATGGCTTTGACTCCCAGCCCAGGTTTTACAAAGGAATGTTCCCCCAGGGTGCAGGATGTGGGGAGCCATGTCCAGCAGGGACAAGCACAGGCCAATGATCCTGTCATGATCAAGGCCCCGGATCCCTGTAGCGTTGGGTGCCATGTCACTCAGAATCACATCTGCTCTCCCACCAGGAAGCAGTTCTTGGATTCTCTGGAAGGTTCCCGGGTCAGTCACATTAGCAGGGCACAGAAAAGTTGCTCCTTCCAGGGGTGATATGTGAAGAAGGTCTACCCCGAGCACAAAGCCTACAGGAGTGCTGGGCTCTAAGGAAGAAATGGTGAGTGAGTTATTTACACCCTGAATTTTCTCACAAAAATACATGCAACAAAGTAATAGAGGACCACGGAAAAGAGCCCATGTGCAAATAATGTGTACACAGGTCTTTTTGCACTTTCTATACATCCTGTAAGAGCACACGGTGGGGCAGTGGTGGTCCTGTCCCCTACAGCTGAGGGAACCGACCCAGAAGAGCGGCAAAGTGACTGTCCCAGAGCGAAAGGCGAACCTGGGACTTGACTCTGACTTCACATTGTTCCCCGAGGCTGCTTTCCCTGAGGAATCTCATCTCTGAGTGGTCTTTTTGATAAAGTAGAAAATGATGCACTAGTTTATACAGTGCCTCTGGATTAAATCAACAAATCCACTCTTGCAGCCTAATCCAATTTCTTTCCATGGAGAAACTTAGAGACAAGCCGAGACGAGAGAAAGGCCAGATGCAAGATAAGGTCCAAAAACTGCTGCCTTGCTCGTAGTTGAGTGATACCAATCATGAACTAAAAGATGTCAGTTTCACCTTACCTAAAGCAAGACTTTATGTCTGCACGACTGAGTCTACCTCCCCTTCCTCTCAGGCTGCACCCACATTCAGAGTCCCCCTCTGCACAAGCCCTGGCAGCCCCTCTCTGCATCACTTCCCTGCGTTGAGGGCTTTTGCTCTGCTCATGTGTCAGGGTTAAGCCACGGATTTGCTAGTTCGGTCTATTTAGTAAAAAGGGTGTTTTGCAGGGCGAGGAGGGAAATGGGTGTTTCATTTCTATGTAAAGATTAGAAGTCTAGGTATTTTGCAGAGTAATATTTAAAAGGCCAAAACTCTCAATTTTCAGCTGTTAAGTGCAACACATCCGATCTCACTTCACGCGCCTGTGCTCTTCAGCATCTCATACGTTGCCTCGGGAGGTGTCCAGTAAAGGCAAATGGCTCTGGCTGTAATTTTGCAACTTCTGGGAGAAAAAGAAACTAGGTCATTTTATCCACACACTTTGCTTCTGCCACTTTAGGGGAACAGAAACCACTGAAATCAGCTGTTATAATGTCTATGGATAGATTCAGTAATGGCAAAAGAACTTACATTTCTGACACAAATTCATTCACTCGGCCTATATTAGAGCTAAAAAAAAATAAGCTGTTCTCAAGCCCCTGAGGCATCCCAGCCATGAACGGGCTGATGAATGAACCAGTGGAGGAGCGGTCCCAGGTCTGCAATTTCAGGTCACTGAACACAACCTCAAACTTCTCATTAGGAAAATGGCACAAATGTCCCCATTCCAAGGTGGAAGAGAGCTTTGTAAACTGTCACATGTCACATAATACTAGTGCGTGCAGTACCCTGACTTTACAGCAGGAAATGTAGGTGGTAAGGACACCCGCCACAGCACTAGGCTCACCGGCCAGAGACCTGAAAGCAGCCCAGGTGAGACACCGGAGCGCTGCGCCGCTGACTAAGAGGGCGAGGTTGTCTTAGTCCTGTGGCTGGTGGGTTTATCCGTGTATTAATCAGGGGAAACATTTTTACATAGAGAACCTCTGACAAAACCATCACACACAAAAGAAAAGCTGAGTCCCTCGGGTTTAGCCAGCATGGAGAACCTGGAGCCTAGTAGGACCTCGAGGACACCCAGCGCTTCAGGCTCCAGGACCTGGACGCCTCCAGGGCGAGTCAGCAGTACTGTCAGGGAAAGATGTCAACATAGGAGGAAGTGAAAAAGGAGCTCCGTCAAGGCTCTAAGTCAGCAAGACTGGATGAAAGCATTTTGAAAAGAAAGTGTGTATGGCAGTTACGTGTGCGAAAACAAATTCTCCAAGGACGCAAACCACTATTAACGTGCACGTTAATGTGGTATCATTTGAGGTGGTTGAAATTTTCATTACACCTTTCTCCCTTGTCTTTCATTTTGAAAATGCCAGTGTCCTATTTTTATTATTACTACTAAGCAACCAATTGAGACACCTGTGCCTTCAGAAAATGGCCCAACCCCTCCGTGTCCTCTGGCGGAGGGCAGCTGGCTCACGTCCAGAGTGGCCCTAAGAGCAGCAGGAGGCCCCACCTGTGCCTGCAGCGTTGACTCTCTGCACAGACACCTGGCTCCATGCACCAGGAGCCGCCCCACAGTCTAACACCCGGAGGCCAGGCCGTAGGATCCGGTGTTTCTCGTCCACCTCCAGAAGCTTGAAGGCACTTCGACACCGATAGCTCTCCAGCTTCGCAGCCTTCACAAACGGGTCCTTCAGGTGCCGCGTCAGCCACAGGTGCTCGGCACCGGTCCTAGCCTTGTAGTGACTGCCAGCAGTGTGCAAGCTTTGACGCCGAAGGGCACACACCAGCTTCCAGGACCTGATGAGAAAGGGAGCAGGCAGGCTGGCATCACATAGCTCCACAGGTCACGAGCTCAGGGCAGAGCCCTCGGTGCAACCTGGGCATTCATAGAGATGAGGCAGGGAGGCCCCAAAGGGGAGGCAACTTAAGACCACCGCCAGAGTGCAGGTATTATGGGCCGACCTGTAGCTTCCCCAAATTTGTATGTTGAAGTCCTAACCCCCAGAACCTCAAAATGTGACTGGTCTTTAAAGAGGTATTTAAGTTAAAATGAGGCCCTGATCCACTGGGACTAGTGCCCTTATAAGAGGACCTTAGGACACTAGGGATGGCCATGTGAGGTCACAGGATGGAGACGTCAGAGTCACCCTGCTGGCAGCCACCAAGCCTTCCTAATACTGGGTACCAGTGCTCACTACCGTTCTCTCGCCTGGCGCCAATTTCCACAGGGCTCTGCCAGACGGGGACAAGCTCACAGGACAGGTCCTTGCCTTGCTTAGTCCCCGAGCATAGGGCTAGCAGAGCCTGAGCTGCGCACTTCCTAACACAACGAAGCCAGCCCGCGTGAACAGCTGAAAGGCCATTTCCACGTCTTTGGCAAAATCGGGTTTTCAACAGTTTGTGGACAGCCAGGAGCGACCCATTCCTCCCCTCCCTGAACTCTCAGACCTACAAAATAGGTTCTAATCCATTTGTTCTGATGAGAAAAAGCTATCGCTCTCCCCTCGGCAACGGGCCAAAGCCCCTCCGGCAGAGATGGCTGACAGGATGGGGAGGCAGTAGCTCGGGAACCTCTGAAGGCCGGGGGGTCTCTCGGGAAGCGGGTAGAGCGGTGCTGGGCGCCGGAGCCAACCTCAGCGCTCGGGGCCGGGGACCGGATCTGGGCGGCTGGCCCCCGCCAGCGCCAG